GACTTCCTTTGCCGAGCCGCGGCCAGGCGTTTTGGCTTCGCCGCAGGGTGCGACGACGATGTTGACAAAGGGGTATCGACGGTATCGACGGCAATGTTTCGAAGTGAGAAGAGAGCTCGCGCATAGTGTGCAGGCTGCCGATGAAGCGGTGGGTGGTTTGACTGTTATGGGCCATGGCAGAACCGCTGACGGGGGGACGCCGGGACGGCAAGCACGAAACGAGCTTTTGGAGGTGACGAGGACCAAGATGGCAAGATGGAGCTTACGGGGGGCGCCTGGGGCCCGATGGGCCCGATGGGGCCCTACGTACGGGCGGAAGGGCCTGCGAGAAGTACCTAATAGCCCACATGTGTAGGTTACTACTATGTACCGTGTCAATTTGAATCAATGTAAATCTGACCAGCTCTGTGGGGAAAAGAAAAACCCTGTCGCAAAGCTGCGCCCGAGGCTGTTCGGCGTGCGATGCCGTTATTACTTGCTCGGCGACTACTGATATGTCAATAGCAATGCGGCCAGATGTCAAGTGGTCTCGTCTTGTATTTCGAAACATTGGAGGACCAACTACGGGACCCCGGGCAAGGTATCTGGGCAAGCTCTGCCTCCAAAGTGGCACCTGGGACCAGTGGGCTCGTGCAGTTATTGTATCAATCCAGTCAATTAATGTCAATATTCTGGCAGCTTTTTGTTCCTTGTCCGCCATGGAAATTAAATTACTCCAGACCCGGCCCTTCCATCAAGCCCACCGGGAATTACTACCGGTAGACGGTGCCGACACCTTTCAACGTTCGCCGGGACCAAGCAACGTCGAATATTGCATACTAGGTACTTGACGATACGAACCCGTCAAACGTCATTATCGTATTGGACATGTCTGGTGCAACTTTTCCTACTCCTTCCATGCTGCTTCTTCAGTGGCACTAGCCTCGCAGATGCGCATCCAAACTCCCATGCCGTGTCACACTGCCAACCGCGCATCTGTCGACCGCGCACCTAGACTCTGCGCCAGCTTGGCATCGGGAGCTTGTCAGCTTGCTTCCACTGCAGCCACGGCTTCTATTCTGGGAGACCATGGCCTCATGTCCCCAACAATGGCTGCTCGTTTCCCCGCCCAGCTCGGCGCTTATGCGCATGGGAGGTGGTGGGACGGTTAATGCGGGTAATGCGGGCGAATGGGGGGCGCTTGTGTCTCTCTGAGACCAATGGCAAGGATGGCCGCATCTGGCACATGGCTATGGTAATCATCAGTTCATGGGACGCCCAATACAGGAATAGTAGGTCTGGGCTTGGGCTGTGTCTTGGGAACAATAAGCCTGTAGCCAATGTGCGTGCCTCATTCCTGCGGGATCTGCTCGGGTTTTCTGGGTATACATTGTCTTGCTTTGCAACACAATCTCCAATCTCGGTACCCAAATCTTGGAAGTGGAGAAGAAGCCCAGGTTCAGCAATGGAGTTGTTATACCCGTCAGTATGTGTTAAATCGGCCACTTAGCCTTCTACTCTATCGCAGACTTTACCAAAACTTGCTACCCGAATCTGCCAGGTGCAACTAAAGCTATGCTATTGGAAATATGGCAAGAACTAAAACCAAAAAAAAAAAAAGAGAGAGAGAGAGAGAGAGAGAGAGAGAGTCAAACATACAAAATAATTGCCCAATTGTGAGTTGCTACCGTCAAGTTCCAGCATGCTTAAGCAAAAATTCCCGCACGGTAAATATACAACTCTGGGTCGAATGGAAGAAACAGCCCAACCCCATCTTGATCACCCTCTTGATCTTTCAGCGCTTCACATGAGTGTGCAGTTGTCGAAATTGAAGCCATAGCCCTGTTGGCACTGTTCCAGGTAGCCAGCCTCTTCTGCGGACCCCTCCGGAACATTATGTTTTCTCACAACACCCTGAATATCAAGGGTCTGTTCTCCTTCGGGATGCCACCACTTCAGGCGCTGAAGCACGGGGCCTTCGCTGTCATCGGAACTCAACTCCCATTTGCCGGCAGATACAGCTACTTCGCACTGATCCTTGGGGAAGTGGTACTCGGGAAGAAAAACGACAGTGGGCGACTCGTCACTGGCAGGCTTTGGCGCTGAGACCTTGAGATTGTAAGTGCACTTGCGGAGATCGAATCCCGTAGAGAGCACATTGCCTGCAACAACAGTTGGAGTTGGTCGAATGAAAGCCTCTGCAGCTCGGTATCCGGGAGCGTTAGTCAACTCGGGATCCTTTGCTAATTGGCTAGAGCTTATTGACGGCGTTGTGAGCGTGCGGTGCAGGTTTCCAGGAGTGACACTCTCGTCATCGCCGCTGCCGTCTCTACTGTTCATCGTCGACAGCTTTAACAGACTTGTTGCAGACTGACCGGCTACTGCGCTCCTGGGGACTGGAGAGAGCGGCGGCAGTTTGTCGTCTATGGAGTGGATGGACAAGTCTTCTCCGTTCCACTGGTCGCCGCGTTCGTGGTCGTTGATAACAGTGTATACCCAGAGGCAATGGCCTTCGATCTGAGAGCCTTCCACGCCGAAATAGTTGGCATCCAGTGCAGCGGACTGGCTAGAGTAATCTCCCGTCTTATAAGCCTTCTTGTCGTCCATGTCATATGGTATACCAAATTCGGTCAACAGGCAGGGATGATTGCCTGTTCTGTCTAGTCCCTCCTGCCGTAACGTTGCTAGCTGGTCCTTGAGGCAGTTTCTGATGGCCGTCTCGCCAATTTTGATGGCAAATGCGGGATGCCAATACTTGCCACGAAGCACGCCAACAACGTCGACATTCCATGTGCTGTTCCAGTGCTTGGTCATCAATGTGATGCCATCGTAAAAGTGCGGCGTGAAAGCCATCAGTGGGTCGTCGTCCTCGGTTCCCTTGATTTGAGGAGGCAGTTCTAGTGTAGGATATTGCATAAGCATAAGACATTCTTTATGATGAGCTCTGCACGCCTTGCTGTACTTTCTCCAAAAGTCCATGAAGTAGGTATTTGTAAACTCGGGGTAATCGATAGCTTTGCCGGTTCTGGGGTTCTTGGCAAAGTAGTCCTTCTTTAGCATTGTGTCCGTCGCTATATCCCAAACGCCATGCTGCGCCCACAGACACTCGCCGAGTTTCCAGCCAGGGTGACGCTTCCAACCATACTTGGAATCGTCATATCCTTCTGGTAACCAGGCTATCTCGCCATGAGGATCCACCAGCGTCGTGCCTGTCTTGTAAGGCCCCAAGCCTCCCATATCCCAGGTATCAATCTCACAGGCCCTGCCCATACCTGTCAGGAAAGTCTGCCACATGGTCGGACAGGTGCCTTTCTTCAGGGGGCTGTCCTTCGGGATGACTGTCAAATCAACATGACCTGTCATGCCTCTGTTGGGCTCATTCATGCTCTCCCAGCCCATCACAACCTCATTTTCCAGATCGCCTGCGTCATGTATCCGCTTTGCCAAGTGCGCGCAGGCATTGACGAAATGGTCCTGCAAATAGTCCTGGATGTTCACGCCGTTTATGATGCAGTTTGGCGCAAAGTCTTTGCCGGCAAAGAACAGAGTAAACATGGTGCCTGCCGCGAGCCTGTGATAGTTGGTTGACCAAATCATTTTAGGGAAGGCATCCGGATCGGGGTACGTGTTCTGAACAATGGCGGCTTCGGTGGCGGCGAAGCCCTGAGGGTTGAGACCACAGGCGTACAACGTCCACATTGGAGCCCCTGAACCGCCGGTGAACCGTGACCAGACATCTTGGTGAGGGTCCATAAAGACGTAGAAGCCGTAGGACTTTGCTATCCTCAACACCTCGATGGTATGCTGGATATATTGTTCGTCATAGATGCCGGGACCTGCGGCTTCGATAGCCTCCCAAGTAAAGAGGTAGCGAATCGTATTGAAGCCATAGCGTTTTATCCTCGCAAAGTGCGTAGCGGCTTCCTCTTTACTAAACGGCCGCTCGTGGAACGTGACATTGTCGCCGTCGAAGAAGTCATCGGCAATGTGGGACGGTTGATGGGGTTCGGAGGGGAGTTTTGCGTCGCCAGCGACATTGATTCCGCGTAGTACAACCTGTCGACCGTGAGCGTCTCGGAACTGGCCATCCTCAATCGTTAGCCGAAAGGAAGCCATGTCGTCTTGCGAGTGGAGTGGCCGATGATGAGGAAGAGGGCAAGTTGGAGGAAGGGATGGAGAAGATCGAGACGGTGGACAAAGGCGGTTGGTGCCCAGACGTCACCGGGCCAGGACGTCAAACTTGCCAACTGGCTGTGCCGCTCCCTCGAGCAATGACGGTGCAAGCGCCCAAAGATGGAAACTGTCTAGGTATCTGAGCACCGTACGAACCAAAAACAAGTTGGTTACTTCAAAAGTTAGCTTGGTGGGTGCAGCGACGCCGGTCTCGAGCGGTTGGCCTTGGGTTGGCCAGCGCTCGAGTAGGCGGTGCTTAATGATCAGCAAAGACCCGCGACAAAAGCCACCCCAGTACGGAGTATGAGACTGGGATACATGTACCGGGCCTCCCTCCCCAGGTGCAGAGCGTCAAAATTCATTAATTAATAACGTTAACTACTCCGTAAGTTACTTGGGCATCGCATTTGTCGTTGCCGACGTAGTATCTGACATAGTCCCCTCTCCCGCTTCCTGCATCTTGACGGTCCGTCACGCGGCGCCACACTCCACACTCCCCAGGTGCCGTCTTCGTCGTGACGTAAATGGAAGCTATTTGCCCGCGCGGCCATCAGCTGCACACTTTGCTCATGTCCCTTCCATGCTGTCTCAGCAGTTCAACGTCGTCATCGGCACCGACCTGGGGCAAACCGACTTGACCGTGTATTTCCTCTATTCGTATCCGTATTCGTACTTGATCCATGACCCATCACGCTTCTCAAGCCAACCCTCCCTTGGTGGGCATACATTCTACATTAAAACACCAAGATGCACGATACTGTCGTATTAATACGCCAGTTTCTCCTCTTTCCTGCACTGCGATTTGAATCGCTTTCGCCACTTGCCCCTGGGCTGCGTCCACTCACTCATCACTGGAATCTAGAGTCATTGGGCCTGCTCCCCTGGCGAGGAGTCTGGCCGTCGTGGTATTCCCTCGCATAAGGCACAGCTACCCCAGGGGGGTATATTTCTTCCATTTCAGCCATGTCCGGCCTAGTTGTATCGGAAAATCTGGGGGTTTGGAAGACAGTTGGACGTCTTGGCTGCAACTCAACCCAGGCTTCATCCAAGGGTTCAATGCGTGTTTTCTTCAGGTCGACCGCTCGAGAGCCCCAAACCATGTCTCTGTACAGCTTTGGCTCATCCCAATTGAGGCGAAAAACATATTTTCCGACTACCCAGGGTAGGTATCTCGTGACTTTGAAGTGCATAAACTCTCGCTTCGAGACAGCAAAGATGTGGTCCAGCTCTTCCAGACTGCGTTGTTTGGTCTCCTCCACAAACAGGAAAACCATGACATAGGCTACAATGTTTAGCCCAGCGAAGATCCCCATGGACCCCTTTTGGCCAAGAGCAGAGTCAATGCTACCCAGCTTGTCAGCCATGAATAACTACCTAGGTAGACAGTACGATAGATATACGCTGAGGACGTACCCCGGGAAGAAGACGGCCAATAACCCGGCAAACAATAGGTTGATGGAAATTGCCCACGCCGTGCCCTGTTTTTGCTCGATAAGTATTTGTTTTGCAATGAGAAAGGCCCCGGGCCTAAGAGCCAAGTCACGGCGACTTACTGCTTCTCGATGTGTCAAAGGGAAACTCTCAGAGGCTAGGGTGAAAGGAATTGGCCCGAGGCCGGGTGAGTATGCTACTGCAAAGACTGCCCTTGCGTTAGTGAGAACCCTCCATCTTGGGGGGAGATGGCACCAAATACTCACGGAACAGAAAGCAGGCCGTCACTCCATTGCGAGTTGCATCATCTTGGACATTTTCAGAGAGCCCGGCCCCTAGCATAAACACCGCCATGAAGGGGAATGTCAGCAGCAACCATCTCCTTCGACCCAATGTGTCAATGCTCTTTACCGCTGGCAGAGCAAACACAAAATTAATTGCCCCTTGATTAAAGAGAAGGTTAGACTAGTCGAGACTCTTGTTCGGATGGAGTTTTCCTACCAAACCCGAGACTGTACGCCATGTTTGTAATGGCGTTGCTTTGTGATCTGCCTGCTTGTCGGAAGACAATTCCTGCACACATGTAAGCATGTCATTTTATACATCGTGGCGAGGGAACAAGAGTGTACCTGAATAGAAGGCACAAACATTTACTACGGAGAGAATAAATAAGGTCAGCTCCTCCTGCTTCAAGTAATCATTGGGTTTCGGACTCACCTCCACAAAGCTGCTGTGCAAGATTAACCGTCGATGTCGAGATGACGGCATTGTACAAGCGGCGACGTTGGAACAGCTGGACAAATTGTCTTGCGAAATCACGAATAACCCACGAGAAGCCAGGCGACATCATTGCTTGAGGATCGAGGTCGCCAAAGTCCATGTTCTCTTGTTCAATTGATTTGGAGACAAGATACAGGTCCCTCAGTGCTTGCAACTAATACACCAACACAAACATTCATTAGCGGGTATCTTTTCCGTGTGCATTTTCAGGCAAGTGTGCCTACCTTGGTGTTCCGGACTCGCTTCAACACCGTGTATGCTTTCTCAACACTATAGTTAGGGCCCTTCAGCAAGTGGTAGCGAGGCGACTCCGGACAAACAAACAGTGCCATTATCAAAAGAGCGAATGCGGGAACCAAAGGAGCGCCTTGGATGAGACGAAAGGTGGTAGTCGGATTCGCCGCTTGCGTGAAGATCAAGTTGAACATAAAGCTCATCATGATGCCGAAAGCAACCCTATTCCCCCTATCAGCTAAGAAATATCTACTGGATGGTGTAAGATGACACCCTCAGCATACCAGAGCTGCCAGGCGAGAATTGCAGAACCACGCCAAAATCCGACTGCAGTTTCACTGGCCAGAATGGGGGTGCTAACTGCTTTGATGCCCATACCTAAGTATTATGTTAGATTTCGGCAGTCGGTTCGGTGTTTGGGGGCAAAAGATTGACTTACCAATGCCATTTATGACACGAACACCGAACATTTGAGTCCAAGAAGTAACGAAGATAGCTCCGATAGAGCTAGCAAAAATCAAGATTGCCGCAACACTAATACCTCCTTTTCTTCCGAACCAGTAGTTGATTGGCAGAGAAAGCGGGCATCCAACCAACGCAGCAAAGAGGAATGGCGAGGCGTTTGCACCACCAAGCTTCCAGTCGTCGGGGGTAATATGGTGTGAGGTGTCGTTGCTCAGATTCAGACCCCATTGATCCATATATAATGAAGCCCCGTTGACTGACGACTGTACAAAACCTGTTTCGTACGACAGTCAGCAGCTGCTACGGAAGTTGGCTCTTTTCAGCCTTGATCGGCAACAACTCGGACCGACCTTGCAGAAATGCTGCCAGTGAAACCGTGGCGATAACGGCGAACATTCCTTTCTCGCTGAACGCAACATCTTTTTCAATTCTGAGGGCTATCTTCTCTTCTTCTGTCAATATCACCGCAAGTCTATTTCGCTCGTCGTAGCCGGCAGGTTGTCGAGCCGCCTCGTCATATATCTGAATGTCCTTTCCGACCCTGGCGGCCCGCAGCAACTCTTGGTACCTCACGGAAGGAAGAAAAGTCTCTGCAAAGTTTCGGACATCCAATTCCAACTCGGCGTCCGTGAGATGGGCTTTAGATGATTAGTGCCCTGTACTCGGGTGGTAAGGAGCACAGAGCGAGGAATAATGGGCGGAGCAAGTCAGACTTACCGAGGGGATTCTCGATAACAGCCCTATCATTGGCGCTTCTAGTTTTTGCGACGGCAAAAGTCCGGTCACGGCAATTGTTCGAATAAGCCGGATGAGTTAAGGGCGTCGTCATGTTGTAGACTCTATGCGAGCTTCAGTTGCACTGTTGCAACATCAAGCATTCTCTTTCATGCACAGATCAGGCAGTGGCAGAAGCCAACAGGCAGAGAGCGGAAGAAGGACGAGAGGAAGGACTTGTTCAAGTTCACAACCGAAGAAACTCGGGACTACAGATGTGTGTAATATAAGAGAGCGTTGATTGTTTCCTCTCATGTGACAAGAGATGGCAAGGCGCTCGAGCGCCGCCACATTTAGAGTGCGTGAGAATGCCAGGACCTCTGGTAAGACGCCTTCTTGTGTCATGCCGCCACCTATGGGTGTGTCTAATTACATCACGGAAGCAAACTGTACAAGAGTTATATGTGTCCTTGCCAAGAGCATATACAGCCTCACTCTTAGGTACAGAGGCGTGAGGATGCCCAACGTCGGGAGTAGCAAACGGTCCCGGACCAGCAACCCACACGGCTGGTACGTATTACCCTGCATGAACAGATGAACTATTTCGCTTCTCCAAAGTCTCACCCTGTTGGTCATATTGATGAGAGAATAGAGCATGGAGCGTGTGGCGCTTTTCCGGGGTAGAACAAACAATAGGCAGCATTGTTCTTTTTTGCTGCTTATTGGTAGCGACTTGCAAACCCTGGCTCACCTCCTCCTGTTAGTTGCGCCTGATGATTGAACGAACAAGTTGGCTTACATACGTCGGAAAAATGACATCACATTGAGCGTTCAATGGACAATAGGCATCTAATTGTCTTGGGATTAGTCACCCTTGGAAATCTCATTTAATATAAGACATTAGGCGGGGAGGTACGGAGTGTTTTCGTTGCCATTCGCGTGGTGCCCAGTATGACAGCATCACATTACAAAGTTCAAGGTCGCGGCTCAGAGGGAGACCTGGCGATAGTAGCTGAAAGGTGCTCACGGCGTTTGCCCTTTATAACAGGTCTGGCAATGCCTCCCCTCAACGGTATCAGCACGTATATGTAGGATGTGGCATATCCTGTAGCGTGGTGCGGGAGCACAAACAATGCATTGTCCGATGCAGGATCGAACGGGCTTATTTTTTTCAGCTCTGACCGGCTTCTACATGCCGCGCAGCCAAATTGCAGGTTGGTCGTGCGCTCCGTCTAAATTTGTAAGACAAGCACATTTCGCAGAATGGACTGTCCTGCGTTCTTGACGTAACTCGCAGCAAGGGTAGATGAGTAGCCAACAGGCAGTAATTCCATGGTCATGGCAAAAAGCGTCCGTGGTTCGCGATGCTTGGAGTAGATCACACCGGCCTAGTTGTGACTGGTTGGTTGTGGATTTGCGGTTGTGGTTGCGGTAGCGCCGGAGAGCTTCCGGGTGTTGAAGCCAGCGGAGAAACTCCGGCTAAGAGTCCTTTTCGCCGAGCAGCTCTGTGTTGTCATGACATAAGCCATGTTGAAGTCAACTGCTCACAGATGGCAAGCTTCATGGCGTGTGAACTGGTATAGCAGGAGCCGCCGGCAAATTGCGAATCGCTTCTGTTGAAACAAATTGTCGGGTAAATACTCCTGTCATGAATTCATTTTCCAGGTTTACCTCCCAAAGCCGACTACCTTTTGGCCATTGCCACCCGAATTTGTGTCGTTTTTGTTAAATTACAGTATAAAATCGCGGGGCACAAGTTGTCTCGGGACCAACCACCATGTCAGGCGCCAAGGCCACATTGAAGGCCATCAACGATGCTATTCGCGGCCAGGATTATGACAGCGCCGTCGAAAAGGCAAAAGAATTAGTAAACAAGGACCCAAAGAGCTATCACGGGTGAGTGTGCACCCTTTGCCGTTTCTCGGGATGGGAATTGACTGTCCAAGCCTTATTTTCCTGGCCTTTGCGCTGGACAAAAAAAATCAGCTTGTCGAAGCTGAAAATTTCTACAAAAAAGCTACAGAATTGCGTCCCCAGGATGCCCAGGCGTTCCAGGGGCTGGTCAAGTTATACGAGAAGCAAGGAAACAAGAGATTGGGGGAGTATCAAGCTGCCGTCGTGAGCTTGGCACGGATTTTTCACGAAGCAGAGGACCTGTACAAAGCCCGAGATGTCGTGGACAAGTTTGTCGACTTTGCCAGGGTCAACGGAGACAAGCTGCAATATGCCGATGCTCTCTGGATCCAGCTCCCTGAAAGTCCTTTGTATCCCATTTTGGAAGGGCGATTTCCGCAGCCAGCAAAGACTTATGAGACCATTGCACACATACTCGAGGATTTTGAAAAGAAACGGATCAATACCCTGGTTGGCGAGCGCCGTACGAGATTAGGAGCGAGACTCAGCGAGGTAAAAGTCGAGGTCAAGAGGGAAGTTTATGCACAGAGCAAGTTGGAACACATCTACCGCCAGCTCATCAACTGGACAAGCAATGATGAAGTCAGGCGGGACTTTGAGGAGAAGCTCTTACAATATTGCTATGACAGATTGCTCGTCACCGCTGCCGGGCCTGTAAAAACACAGGAGCAAGCCAAGGTTTTCGGTCTTGCAAACGACATGGTAACCATCAAACATCCGTTCAAACTCGCGTGGGATATTGCCATAGACTGGCAGGATGGCAAAGATATCAAGGACTGGGACGCCGGCCTGCTTCGAGATTACTGCACTTTTTTCCCAGACAGCGACATGTACAAAGTCATTACAGCCTTCTTGACAAGCAATTTCTCGCCCTTTCCTCCAGAAGGTACAGCGGCAGAAAATACCAGAGCGGCAGCAAATAACGATTCAGATGATAGCGAAGATGAGGAAGATGGAGGTGTTCCAATCACGTACGTTCCGTTAACTGACGAAGACCGTCTGATGATGATCTCGGAAGGCATTACCGGTAGTGAGTCTGTGTTTGCCTACAGGCTTGTTGGAATTTACTTCCTGCAGACAGGAGAGTACGAGAACACGGTTGAGATTATGAGAAAGGCTAGCGCATTTCTTGACAAGGAGCGGGCCAGGGTTGGGATTCCGTATGAGAACACAGGTGACGCATATGCCTTGTGCCTTGCCACGTCTCTGGTTTACTTCCAGAGCCCCAGACATCATCAAGAAGCCAAGCAGCTCTTCGAAAAAGTCCTTAAACGGGATTCAACCTCGACTTCTGCCCTCATTGGAGTTGGCCTGATTTTTGAAGAAGAGGAGGAGTACGATCAAGCCATTGACTTCTTGGAGCGTGCTTTGAAACGCGACGCTTCTAATTTGCGAGTCAAGTCTGAGGCTGCTTGGGTCAAAGCGCTGAAGGGAGACTGGAAAACTGCCAGACACGAGCTTTCCGAGTGTTTACCGATCTTGGAAGAGAAGATCGCTCTTTACAAGGATTTGATGGCAGATACTCAGTACCGCATTGGCTGCTGTCTTTGGAACTTGGACACGAGTCGACAAGCTCGAAAACAGCGCAAGGGGGACTGCGCGTATGCATATTGGTTGAGCGCATTGAACAACAACATGAATCATGCTCCAGTGTACACAAGTCTCGGCATATTTTACAACGACTACGCCAAAGACAAGAAGAGAGCGCGTCGATGCTTCCAGAAAGCCCTCGAACTCTCGGCAGCCGAGGTAGTCTCTGCAGAGCGGCTGGCGAGATCTTTTGCCGAGGATGGAGATTGGGAGAGGGTTGAACTGGTAGCCCAAAGAATCATCGATTCGGGTAAAGTGAAGCCGCCGCCCGGTTCTAAAAGGAAGGGGATCAGCTGGCCATTCGCCGCAATGGGAGTTGCCGAACTGAACAAGCAAGACTTCCACAAGGCCATCGTCTCCTTTCAGGCCGCCCTACGACTCTTTCCAAATGATTATCATTCCTGGGTCGGATTAGGTGAGAGCTATCATAGCTCCGGCCGATACATTGCTGCAACCAAGGCCATTGTGAATGCGCAGCATCTGGAGGAACATCTAGGAGACGGTATCTCCGCCGATACATGGTTTACGAAGTACATGCTTGCTAACATCAAGCGTGAGCTTGGTGAATATGACGAGTCGATAGCTCTCTACAAGACCGTTATAGATACCCATCCAGAAGAGCAAGGTGTTGTTATTGCACTCATGCAGACAATGGTTGATAACGCATTGACATGTGTTGAAAAAGGACTCTTTGGGAAGGCTGTGCAACTCGCAATTGATACCATTGAATTTGGCAGCAAAACTTCTGGAAATGTTAAGGAGACGTTCAACTTCTGGAAGAGCGTCGCTGATGCCGCTTCGGTGTTCGTCTCTGTCCAGAGCCGCGTCGTCGATTTCCCAGCAAGTCAGATCAAGGGGTTACTGGAGGCTAGTCACCAAGAAGCCTTTGAACTGCTTGCTAATGTCGACAAGGTCGGAACCGACGTGGTATATGCCAAGGGTATCTATCCCAAGGATGAACGACTGGGTGTCGACATGACACGCTGTATTCACGCTACGATTCTTTGTTACAAAGAAGCAATCCACGTTTCTTCTGGCGATATACACGCACAAGCAGTGGCTCATTATAACCTGGGCTGGGCAGAATACCGTGCTCACGCTTGCCTGCCTGCACAGATGCGAAAGAGGCCTAGCAATTATATCAAGGCCGCTGTAAGGGCTTTGAAACGTGCTATCGAGTTGGAAAGTGGCAATGCAGACTTTTGGAATGCTCTGGGCGTTGTCACGAGCGAAATCAACCCAGCTGTCTCACAACACGCCTTTGTCAGAAGCTTGCACTTGAATGAACGCAGCCCCGTTGGGTGGACGAATCTTGGCGTCCTCGCGCTTCTATCGGGGGACACTAAGCTGGCTAACGAGGCCTTTACCAGAGGACAGTCTGCTGATCCTGAATATGCGCATGCCTGGCTCGGCCAGGCGTTCCTAGCCCTCCTATATGGCGATGTAAAGGGAGCCAGGGGGTTATTTACGCATGCTATGGAGATTTCAGAGGCTTCCTCGGTGCCAACTCGCAAGCACTACTCGTCTTCTCTCTTCGATCACATCTTGACAGCCCCTGCAAACATGACGGTGGCTTCGCTTATCCAGCCCTTATTCGCTCTGAACCAGATTCAAAGTATGCTTCCACAGGATCTTGCTTTCGGCCATTTGTCATCCTTATTTAACGAACGAACACGGGATAGTGCCAGTGCGGTCAGGACGCTGGAAAAGCTATGCGACGTGATTGAGGCCGACTATGAAACAACAGAGTCCAGAGAAAGTCTCGCAAGATTCACATTGGCACGAACTGATCTCGCAAGAGCATACCTCGCCGCAGGAGAGTACGCCAAGGCCGTCGAGTGTGGTGAAATGGCCCTAGGTTTAAGCAGTGATGATGCAGATAGCGAGCTCACTGGCGAGCAGCGGAAGAAGGCTCGGCTTTCATCACACCTGACTGTGGGCTTGGGACAATACTACCTGGGGCAGCACCAGAAAGCGGAAACATACTTCGAGGCGGCCCTTGAAGAATCGGACAATAATCCGGATGCAACATGTCTTTTAGCACAGGTGTTGTGGGCACAAGGTACAGAGAGTTCCCGGGACAAGGCTCGCGAAGCCTTGTTTGAAGTGATTGAAAGACAACCCGACCACGTGCAAAGTGTTTTGTCACTAGGCGTGGTAGCCCTTCTAGACCAGGATGAAAGTAGTCTTGAAGCCGTTGTCGAGGAGCTCCAGGGTCTCCGCACAAACGACAAGGTCAGCACGACGGAACAGTCCCAAATTGGTGAAGTGCTTCGCGCCATCGCGGGCATGGCGGAGGGCCACACACAGCAAGACATGGTACAGCAAGTACAAGAGGATATCATGTTGTACCCTCACCTCCCACACGGCTGGTCATCCTTGGCAGAGGCAACAGGGGACAAGTACGCTGCGCAAATGGCACTCAAGGTTGCGGCTAGAGGCATTCCGCCGAGGGGTATTTTGGAGGCCCAAGATTTAGCAAAGGCATATGCAGGCACGGGCAAGGCAGCTGATGCCCAGAAGGCTGCGTTCTTATCGCCTTGGGATGGATGTGGATGGACAGCATTGAAAGTTGCGACTGACGGAATATGAACAGAAGCATTGGTTTGGCGATGGTATTTGGACAGTGTCTAGTCACGAAGCAGGCATGGGTGCTAGGTTAGATGAAGGGATATGAAAAATGTCTGGGGTATCTTGGTAGGGAATCAATACATGAGAAATCAAGCAACTTGTCATGTTGTCGTCGTCGTCGTCGTCGTGTGCGCACTGCCAGCCCCAGCAGCTTCTTTTAGCCTCGCCATCCGCCCATTCATCCAGGCGTCGTGCCAGGCGTCAATCTTGCCACCCAGCAAAACGCAATTCTCGGGTGTCAACAGCACGGTGCCGCGAGCAACCGGGGTCCCAGCCCTAAGCAGCATCTTGCATCCCATGTTCGTCTTACCCACCCCTATGCCATCTATCCTCGTCAGCTCCACGGCGTACACCCTCGTCCCTTTACAGTCCTGCACGACAAGACGATGCGTGGCTTTCTTGCCGGCAGAAACGGGCGCCCGCGGCCCCGTCCCCCTCGCGGCCAAAGACTCGGCCGCATCCGCACCCTCGTCGTCGGCCACGCGAATGATTTCCCTTCCGCTAGTCCTCTCCCGCCTCTCAATGGCTTCCATCTCCTCCACCTGCTCCCACCGGCTGAGGCTCAGGTTCTCAATGTCCACAACCTGCACGTGCGTGTGGTGTCGGAGCTTGGCCTCCTTGACGTCGGCGCTGTCTGTGCCGGGGGGGAAGGGGCAGAGCTGCGAGCCGTCGAAGTAGGGGCTCGACGCGAGGTCGGCGGCGAGCAGGCGCGCCTTGGCGGTGGCCACGAGCGAAGGCAGAGGCGGCTGCGGCGAGCGGGTGGTGAGGCTGGTGAGGAGGGATTGGGACGGCGGCGGGAGGCATTGGGATGTGATTGATTCCAGCAGCTGGGCGGTGGTGTCCATATCGCTTTCGATGGCTGCCGTCCCGAGTGACGTTGCCGGCGACGACTCTCGAGGAGAAGCGAGCTCGCCGTGACATGAATTATTTGCAAATCAGGAAACTGGGGCGAATCTGTGCTGGCGGGCCACCCGCCCAACGACTCGGCGTCGTTCCTGCAGGTGGGGCCCGCTCCTCCAAACCCCCCAAAACCCCCGGGCGTCTGCAACGTCATGCCATGTCGCAGCTTTCATCCCATCCACACGCTCACCACGCGGCACAATGTCCACGATAGCCTCGCCGCGCGACCCGGCAACCCCCCTCCGGCGTCTCCCCTCCGGCACGCCCACCTCGTCCGGGCGGCCGTCGCTGGAAACCGGCCGGCCGGGCGTGACGCCGCCCGCCCCCGACACACCGTCACAGCCGCCTGCTGCCGCGGCCCCAAAACGCTCCAACCGCGCCGCCCTCCGCGAGTACTACAAGCTCCGCGCGCCTCGCATCGAGGTGGCCGGGTCCGAGGTGCCCGCCAGCGACCTCGACGCCCCGGACTTCAACGCCGCAGAGTACGTCGCGCGGGTCGTGGGCAACAGCGGCCTCGAGGACATGCTGCGGCTGTACACGCAGGTCGTCGCCGAGGTCAGGGCGTTGGATGCCGAGAAGAAGGCCCTCGTGTACGACAACTATAGCAAGTTGATTGCGGCGACGGAGACGATCCGCAAGGTAATATGCATTTCTCTTTTTTGCCCTTTTTTTTTTTCCCTTTTGCCGGCCCCCCCAGTTGCACTTTTGGAGGAGAGCGAGGCCAAAGAAAAGAAATAAGAAGCAAAAGGGGGGGGGATGAAACACGCTGCTAACGCCGTGAGAGCTAGATGAGGGCCAACATGGACCCGTTGAACCCCATGGCGTCGACGCTCGACCCTGCCATTGCACAGATATACTCGCAGGCATCGTCGATACGAGAAAAACTGCGCGAGTCCGTGCCGGCGCCTGATTCCGAGGAAGGGAGGCGGAGGGAAGCAGAGCGGAGGCGGCAGAGGACGCGGGAATTAGCCGTCGAGGTGCTTGCTACGCCGCAGAAGCTGAGGGATCTCGTCAAGGAGGGCAAGATGCAAGAGGCCAAGAGGCAGTGGGAGATGCCCAAGCGACTACTAGTAGCGTGGAAGGAGATGGGTGTCGGGGGCGACGAGGTACAGCAAGTTATCGATGAAGGGGATGCCGTTTTTAAGCCAGTGCCGGATTTACCACAGAGGACTTCTAGAGATGATCAGTAGTCTTGAACATGGCACACGGCGACGTGAACTCTTTGCCCTTTCCATTCGGTAGGCTCTCTCTCTCTTTTGCTTTTTTTCCTCTTCTTGAATTATGCTACCAGTCATGGCCACAGTCAGCTGGCTCAACACCCAACTTGCAATACCGCAAATAAAAGGTGCTGTCTAGCCTCCCTAGCCCAAATGATCGACATTATAAATGGTAAAAGGATCCTTGTCAAACTGGCTCAAGACCACTTGAGCTTCTGGAACGGCATTCTTCAGCTCTTGTTCCAACCTTGGCCGGAGGACTTTTTGCAAGTACCCTCTCTCCGAATTACTGTGAAACACTTGCACCAATGTTCTTCCCTGCTGGATAGCCCTCAACGCCGAATGGTGGCTCGTTTCCCCCGTGACCAACAAGTCGACGTCTGCCTTCTTCAGGACATCGTAGCCACTGCCCGCGCAGACGCCAAAGCTTCCAACTGTTGCTGTCTGCACGTCCGCGCCTACAGGGCCGGCAACCATGACGTATTTCAGACCACCAAGCTCAGAAGCCAGACGTCTGAGAATCTCGGCCAGAGAAACAGGAGCCTCAAAGTGGCCCACAGCGCCGTAGCCAGCCGGGGAGTGAGATTCAGGCGCTGTCAAACAGGGAACAGCCACAGAGCGCCTGCTCGCGTGAGGACCAGCTACAATGTCTGCAAGCCAAGCGTTCAACCCCTGGGGGGCCGCGTCGACTGCGGTATGAGGGCAGTAGACAGCAACTCCGGCCTGAGCCAGACGTAACAGCGTCGCTTGCTGGGGGTCGTCATTGGTGATGGACTTGAGCCCAGAGAATATGAACGGATCTTGGGGGGGGCTGTCATGTTAAAAGTGCTGGACACAGAAAGGGCCTAGGTATATATACATGTATATATTTTTGTCGTGACCGGAGACAACACTTACGGTAGCTCACAATGACGCTGACATTTTGGTCAATCGCATCCGCGGCGACCTGCCAGGTGAGATCATTCGTCACCAAAACCTTGGGCTGCTTCCCCTCGACTTCAGAATTGCCAACCAGGAGGCCGACATTGTCCCATGACCTATCTGCCAGTTCCTCGGGATACCTGCGGGAGATGAGTCAGTTTCTGAAGTCAAATGCCACCGGGAGCCCGGGCGTACAGCGTCCTCATGGCGTCGACGACGGCGCGAGTAAACTTGGATGGCTGGACCTGCCAAGCTCCCCATGCCCCGGTTTCGTTCATTTTGCAGCCGGTGCAGAACGGTGTTGCAGACGGAGTAGGTAGCTTTGCGCCGTGCACGAATACCGTCGAGGCTGTAGCTCGACGGCCGAGCGGCGATTGGGGGGTGAAGGATGCACGCGGGTTGCGTCGAGCGAGGCTTCGCGCGGTGGTCAATGGGCAGGGATGAGATCGTACAGCTGCCCTCATGTCAATTCCCAAGCCTCAGCAACTCCTCATGCAGGCGATGGCGGGTGCGAGTGCGAGTGCGAGTGCGAGTGCGAGTTGCTTTGCAGGGCAAGGCTGTTGAAGGGAGCTTGAAGCTTGACTCGACTAGGGTTAGGGGTCAGTCCAGCAGATGGAGAAGTCAGCAGTCCGGCCGCGGCGCTGGCTCTGTACGTCACCGCCCGCCAGCCACGGACCCCAACTGCAACCAGTCGCAACCGCAGCTGCCCCGCGGTCCAGTCCATCTTATCAATCCATCTTTTGCGACATCGCCCGTCCGCCCACAGCGTCTACGACACCAAAACCACCCTGACTTGACGCGTGCGCCAAAACCTCAGCACCCCATGTCACCATGTCCCAAATAACAGACGCCAGTATACGTGACGCCATCACGCAGCGTCTAGGGGCCACCCACGTCGAAGTCACCGACATGTCCGGTTCGTAAAAATGCCCCTCCATTCATTCACCCATTCACACCAGCACCAAACGCAGTCCTGCGCGTCGCGACAACTTCCCACCTCCCATTCTTCTCAAAAAAGTGCTAACTGGGCGGGGGCTCGTAGGCGGCTGCGGCCAAGCATTCACATGCCTCATCGTTGCGCCCCAGTTCCAGGGCCTCAACTCCCTCAAGCGCCACCGACTGACCAACGCCGCTCTCAAGGAAGAGATTGCCGCCATCCACGCCTGGACGGCAAAATGCCAAACGCCAGACGAGTGGGAGAGGGACAAGGCCAAGGCGGGGCCTCCCATGGACGGGACCGTTGGCGGACATGTTGAAGGCACGGGTGCGTGATTGCGGGAAAGCATCATGGAGGGAAACCCGCGCTGGATACGGCGTTTATAATAACAGGCTGGGGTTGCTTGGCGTCTGTTGCGCCTAGCCGAAATACCATGTGGATAAAACAAAGAAGACGCCATGTCATTAGGACCGGGGGGGGTTGGTCACAAAAGGTAGGATGAAACTGCCTACATTAGATACCTCAAGCACGTATTTTTTCGTGAGAATTGCACGAATGCAATACTGCCCCAACATTACAAATTAAGCCAACCTTGCTTCCAAACCAATTTGCTTCTTCCATTGACACTTCCGTGGGTCTATAAACGGTGCGCCTCCTGTTTTCCCAGTTCAACCTCTTTTGTTTGAGAGATAGAAACTTGAGTAAAAAACAAAACTATTACTACTACCCTCCTCACAACAGCCCCAACAAATCATCGCTATCCTTTTGCTGCGTCTGGGTGCTGCTGCTGCCGCCGCCTTGCGCATTGTTAAGCTGCATCGCTGCAGGGAGAGGCTGGCTCGAGTTGCTGTCGCCAAAACTCAGCCCGTCAAACCCGCCCATCAGGTCGTTGATGCCACTGCCAGAGCTCGGTCCTGCTGCACTTCCGTTGTTAGTTGCACCTATTGGAGGAGCGTCGAACATGCTCATCATGTCCGCCATGCCACCAGATGCCGCACCACCGGCCGGGCTCGCCACTCGGTCGGGTGTTGCTGACGCGCTTTGCTGCTCGTGGGATGCCGGTGCCGCACCGTCAAAGTCAATGTCAAGCAAGTTCTCAATGTTGTTTTGAGAAGCACTGGAGCCGGCGCCGTTGGCTGCTGCTGCGGCAACAGACGCCGCGATGGGGTTATCAGCCGCATTTTGTCTTTGTTCTTGAATTGCGGCTTGCTGGATTTCGTCGGCACCGAATCGTCCTTTGCCAACAAATGACTCCGGGGGTTTGTGGTATACTGAAGCCAAAGTGGACAGCTCCGAGAGCAGTTGTTCCAGTAATGACGGCGGCAACGTAGTCATGGTGGTGGAAATAGTAGGCTTCTGAGAAAGAACAATGTTCTACGTAAAAAGTGTCAGCAGAGTCGAATGAACTAGTATTGTACCAGGAACTAGAAGTACCTTTGCAACGTCCAAATCGCCAGAGAGCAGGCGCCAGTAAACATAAGCTCTGTCTCGGATATCAGGGTTATCTTTCTCTGCAGTCGCAGCCTGCAAAACTTTCTGAACAAGTCCTTGAGTGTTGCTAGGCTTCTTCAGAAAGAGTTTAACTACGGCGGTGAGTATCTGTAGTTGTGTCTGAATTCGTTGTTAGCGTGACTTTTAACAACTGATCAAGTTTCTGTCGGCAGATAAACGTACTTGGGTAAACTCCTCCATAAAGCCCTCGACGAAGCTCTCTAGGATCTGGTCGGCGTTGCTAATTTTCTCAGCATACTCGCCAACGATCCAGATAAGGGATCCTCGAGCCTCCGGCTCGTCAAGTTCATCGATATGTTCACACAGCGTGGGGATCACACCCTCGTACCCGGGATATTTCCGCAAAATGTCCTTGACGACCACGATTACTTCTTGCACCACATAGTTTACCTTGGTGGCCAGCAAGTCTTCCAAAGCTTGCACGCACTTTGCGCTAGCCTCCTCAATCTTAATGGCGACCTGCCCGATAGCCTTGACGGCGCGGCGGACAAAGTCCATATCGACTTCCAGGGCATATTCCTTCAATTCGGCCAGGAGCTGTTCATAATTCTTCTCGTTTGCTATCCGAACCATAATCTCGAGCTTCTGGAGCTTAACGTAGGGCGGATCGTTGTACTTGCAGAAGAAGACCCGGAGCTCTTTGCTAAGGATGTCGGGCTTGGCTTGAAGTAGGAGATCAATGTTTCGCAGAGCAACATATTGAACCTCGGGAGCCGAGGCCACCAAAGTCACTGTAGAATCTTGGTTAGTGCGCCATATAGTCTCGTACTAGCTAGGTCAATATGGAAAACACGTACCAAGGGGGGGTCCCATCTTCTTGAGCAAGGACCGAACCAGCTCCGGGTTGACTGCCTTCATGTGAATAAAAACGACCTTGACAGCGGCCAACACAACGGCAGGGTTAACGTGCTGGAATTGTGGCACTACTCGTTCACAAATGTGTTCCGATTCCTTGACGTCTGAGGCTGGGTAGTCGGCCAGGGTGGTAAGGATGGTGATTCTTCCCCATTCTGTACATTCGTTGAGCGCCATGAGAAGCTTCTTCAAAGTTGCCGAGGTCACGACCAGCGCTCTCGTCTCGGGGGCAGTCTCGCTGATTTCAGACAAGGCCTGCACGGAATTGGCGACAACCATGGGGTTCGGGTCACCAATCATCTCTTGAAGAGTCTCTAGGAAACCGTTCTCGATACACATGGTAGGGTTGAGGTCGAACAGCTTGGCGACACAGATGGCGGCTGTCTTTCGCACGTATGGAGATTCGTCTCGTAACGTTTTCCGCAGCGGTTCTTCCATGTAGTCTACCATCTTATCGACTCGAATACAACCCATGGTCCGGATAGCGAGCGCTCTTATTAGAGGATTCGGATCTTCCGAATCTTGAACAAAGGTGTTTACAGCGAGAATGCATAGGTCCGGGTGTGACTTGGCGTAATTCCTGTGCCATGGTCAGCCTCCTGTGGTGTCGAACTCCCCAACTTGTTTTAGGTCACGAGGCGTATTCGCATTCGACCAACCAAGCGTCAGGAACGCAATTAGTGTACATACATGAGATAAAGATAAACGAGCTTCTTCTGGTCAAGGTCGGCCGTGGCGATGTTCTTCAAGACGTCCGGAAACAGGGCAGACACATCCTTGCCAAGGGTCATGGCCATGATGGTCTTTTGGATGGACTCCTTCCGCTCATAGGCATACTGGGACACCAGACCAGCGCGGAGCTCAAAGGTTTCGCCCTTTCTGGGAGCGGCGAATGCGCCGCGAATGCGATTAACCGCCATGGTCGATGCCGTCGAGGGGTCCGGAGAGGTTGGAGGGGCAAAGATGGAGGCGGTCGTGGTATGGCCGTGTGAGTGACGAAGGCGGTCGTGCGTTGGCCCAGGAAGCTGTAGGAGGCCTGTGGTTCACGGCTCGGGGTCTCTCTGCATCAACAAGGCATCTGAGAAGCCCGACAACTGGCTATGGTGTCGCCTGGTGCAGCCAGCACTCGAGATGCCAGTGCAAGGACAGAGTTGGGGGTGATGGTGCGTGAGCCGTGAGCCGTGATCCACTGGCAATTGTCAAGTCATCGGCTTGGAAGTTACTCTGTAATACTAGCTCAGATGTCGACACGGCGACTTGACTTCACTGTGGGCTTGGCTTTGTGCTTCTTCCCCTGTGCTAGAAATTAACGGGTACGAGGCCCCACCGTCTCCACCCAGTTGCTGCTGCACACAGTGCCTCCAGCCGGCCTTTGCCTGGTGCCCTGGCGCTCATAGCAGGCTTTGCCCCGCTAAAGGGAGACAGACTCAAATGCTTGTTCGATCCACCAACAGTCACTGGCCGGTCTTGCGTCTGCAGTTGAGCAATTGGCACCTAGTCTAGCACCTCTAGTATCTACCCTGCGAGAGAATCACCCCGATACAAGGCTCGGCATCGAACCGCGAAAAATGGTACGGTATCTCAGTAACGTCCTCTTAAAAATATACCGCTAATATTATTCAAAAGGCAAACTTCCCCAACTTGAGGCGGCTCTTCATCGAGGCCCGGACCGACGATGAGGAGAGAGACGTGTCCCGCAAAGCTGTGAGCACTTGCATGAATGATGCATGCCCATCAAAGAAAAGAGCCCAACTAACAAAACATTAGTTTTATAATGCGGTGCTCTTCATGGCATCTGTCGCTGTCTTCAGCTTGATAGCACAGAAGCTGAACGCAGGCAAGTAAAGCTTGCAAGGATATGATGCAAATATGATACCAAACAAATGCTAGGCGACCCTGTACAACACAAGATGAGGATATACCCCAAATAAACTGCTTAATTATACTGTTTGCGCTGCACAAAGTAGACACATGGTTCATTCATCCTCCATCTGCTCTGGCTCTCCATCTCCTCTCCCATCTGGTGCCTCTCGCGGGGCCGCCTTTGCCTCCTGTTTCCTCCACAGCCCGGCCAGGAACTCATTCGTGCTCGCTTCTTCCAAGCTCTTGTCCTCCCGTTTCTTAAGGAACCGCGGAAACCTCAAACTTAAACCTCGTTCATCGCTGACAAGGCCGATGGCCGCTGTGTAAGTTGGACTTAGGGTAACATCTGCAAAGGCCATTTCCCACACCTCCTGAGGTTCAAACCAGACGTCCGGCATGGGGCCAGAGTACTGGATGAAACTTGGCATCTGTGACCGTGTATTCTTGCGCTCTCCACTGTCTTCGCCGTCATCGTAGAACTGCCTCATGGCCTTGTAGAATGTGTCGGTAAAGCCAGACATGCATTTGCACACTGCTTCTAGCATGCCTGTCTCTTCGTTGCGAACAGCAAGAAGAACTGGCGACCACCACTTTGCCTTTCGACCCTGTCCGTGCCATCCTGCAATGGGGATCAAGTCCAGAGTATCAAAGCTGGAATTGTAGTCTTTCTTCACTTTGAGCCACGAGTCAAGCCGCTTGTCGGGTTCATACGTCGCGAGAAGGGGCTTTCGTCGAGAACCCGTCGTCTTCTTGTCCCCCTCTCCCGTTGCTGTTGCGCCATTTCCTTTCTTTTTTGCTTTAGACTTTGGCTTTGGTGTTGGAACCCTCTCTGTTTCCTCAGCGGCCGGCTCCTCTTCGTCTCCCAAGTATGGAATATCAACCAGGTTGTCAAGAATTTTGACCATGATTCCTTCGCATTTGCTCTCCGTGGCCGATTTGAAGAAGTCAAGCACCGTTTCTGAGTCACTAGATGTCGCATCAAGGCTTTTCACCCAGGTGAAATTGTGCGGCACCTCGGTGAACAGTGATCGGAGCAACTCCCGTCTTTCCCTGAATGGGCGGTCCAGCAACGGCTGCCCGTTGAGGAACATCAAATCAAAGGCAAACAGGCAGACATCAATCTTGATGCTGCCGATTTGCACGTCCTTTCTCGCCCGGTTTGTCAAGGTCTGAAAGTTCTTGAGTTCGCCGGTTTCTCGGTCCACTGCAACCACCTCGCCCTCCATGATGAAGCTACTGACACCCTCTCCACGGATCCTAGGAACCAATTCTACAAGATCAGGATATTTGTCCGTCATAAGTTCTAGGTGCCGTGAAAAGATCGATACTTTTCCTCCATCGTCGCAATGCACCTGGGCCCTTTGGCCATCGTACTTATATTCACAGGCAAAATCTCTTCCTTGAAGTTTCGTCAACATTTCCGACAAGTCTCTGGTAATGCTGCCCAACATGGGTCGAAGTGGAATATGCAGAGCTAATCCGCATCTAATTAACAGCTCGTCTGATATTCCAATTTCCAAAAGAACTGGGATCAAATCGTTGTAGTTGGGCCGTCGTGCGAAGCAAGCTTTGACAGTTTCCTCGGCTTTCCCCCAAATCTCGGCTAGATCTTCTTTCCTCAGCTTGGAAAGTGCGGGGATAGACAAAGGAGAGTAGTGTGCACCAGGAGGCCGAGATAGCAGAAAGGCTCTTGACAGAGCAATGAGCATGGTGGTTTTCACGGCGCCAATTCTTAGCTGCTAGCAGCATGAGCAAGGTTCGGTTTTCGCTGACAAGATATCACGACAACTTACATGCTGGCAGAGCGTCCGGACAATGAAGCGACTCTCCTCTCCACCCCTCGCATCTTGCAATAGTCTATCCACAATACGCTGTTTTGCCTGAGCGCTGCCCTGTCCTTGAGAGCTAGCAATTTTAACAAGGTCCTGGTAAACGCCTTTGATCGTAAGTGGCTTCGGCTTTCTCAGTGTGAAGCTCTGCTTCTTTTTAGCTTCAAACGCTACATCGCCGGCATCACCGTATTTATCATAGATTGCCTTCAGTGATCTATTGTCCAAGCCGCACACTTGCTTTAGAGCTTTGGATATTGCAGAGCCCCCTAGCCCCAGTTCCAGGGATATATATGCTGGCGATATAGAGTTCGTAGCCAGCCATACCTATCGCTTGTGAGTAGATGCTTGAAATGATATTGGAGTAGAGCAACTTACGGCTGGCAGGAGACTTGAAGGGTCTCCTTCAACTAGCAGTCGAAGGCAATTCACGAGCGTATCAACTATTTTAATGCGGCTCGTTGTGCCGCTGACGAGGACGAAACATCGGGTGAGCAAAGCGTAGGAGGCGTTTCCACCTTCGGCTGCCCAGTGTTCCCTCAACAAGTCGAGATACTTCGATGGCTGAAATATTAAAGGGGCCTCATCAAGAGGGATGTTGGTAGTAATAACATCCTCGGCCATGCCTGTAGATTGCAATGTAAGAGTAGCCCCCTTAGAAGCAGGCAATTCGGCCTCTTTTGTCACACGAGGCTCTAACTCGGGTTGGGCAGCGGGCGCTAGTTCATCGATTGCCAGATTCGAGGCCGGTGAAGCGCTCCGAGTATTCTCGGTTTCATTTCTGCTCTCATCTGTTACTTCTTTATTCCATTCAGCTTGAATCCTACGGGCCAATTCTTCATCTGTTAGTTCCGTAGATGCCAAGTCAGGCACGTCAACGGCATCTGCTGAGGAAGTTGCTGCACTGCTCTGTCTTTGCTTGGCAAAGAAGAACTCTAAACCTCTAGTCGGTCCTCCATGTTGCTTTCCACCAGTATCAAGCTTCCTCTTTTTGGATGGACTAGACATTGTTCTAGATTGTCCGGCCACGGATATCTATGGGCGTCTTGTTAGTTTCAGCCCTAAGAGGGGGAGGACGTGCTCAGAGAGTTTAAAGCCATCGTCAGCGCAGAAAATGACATACTACATCATTATCCCATCTCCATCTCGTCTCATGTCTTCACAAGTCAAAGACCAAATTGCAGTGTTGCTAGGGGTATGATCGTGAACGCGTGTCGGCCTGCATACTCTATGACGTTCCAGTCGCGAGACCACGTGACGGCATCACCAAAGAGCAGGTGCTCCAAGTCGTCGTAGCGACATGGCAAGCCCCGTCTCCATACACTAAGCCCCTTCGACGCCCACAACCGACCACCCTCACACAACCCGTCGAAAACTTCCCTCTGCCCCACCATCACGAACCTCTCCACGACATCAACCCCCTAGAACACCAACACCCGCATCAATACCGGCAAAATGAACGGCGAAGACCCGCCTGAGCGGCCTGACTATATTACCAACATTATCAACGGCCTCGAGCGCTACAACCCTGAGGCTGTCGGCTCCCTCGAGACATATCTGCAAGAACAATGTGAACAGAAGTTTTGCGACTCCAATGCCAACCGAACCTTGCTCAAGCTGTGAGTCGAAATTTCCCCCCCTCAACACCAGAACGACCGGGATTATTTTGCGATTTTTGTAGCACCTTTTTTTTTTTTTTTTTTTTGGGTCCTGTGGCAGTTTAATGATGACTATTTGTCAACGTTTCCTATTACCTGACCGCGACGAGAGCAATTCATCTCAAGCACATGAAGTCAGCATATTAGCTCTGACAATTGCCTCCAAACCATATGCTCTGCGAAAATCAACATGGCCTTTTTCTTGCGAGGAATACCAGCTAATGCGGATCTTGCTCACCTACCTAGGTACCAGCTTAACCCTGACCGATTGAAGGATGAGGTTGTCACCAACATCCTCGTCAAGGCCATGACCCTCTTTCCCTCCGCGCAGTTCTCTCTCGCCCTCCACCTGATCAATCCTTCAGCGGCTGCGACGGGCGAACTCCACGAGGCCCTGACCAAGCTCCGATCATTGAACTCGCAGCTCGAGGGTGCTCAGTATGCCCAGTTCTGGGCCTCCGTCGACGGTGACGACCTCTGCGCTGACCTGATTGCCGACATTTCTGGCTTCGAGGACATGATCCGACTCCGTATCGCCCAGCTCGTTTCCCAAGCTTTCCGTGAGCTGAAGCTCGCCCACCTTGAGTCCTGGCTCGGGCTCAGCGAGGACGCTACCCGCACGTTCGTCACCGATGTCTGCGGATGGACAGTCGACGAGGAGGACAACATCAAGATTCCTTCTAATCCGGATAACGAAGCCAAGAAAGCCGAGATTCGGGAGGACGTGAACGTGGAGCAGTTCGCAAGGGTAATCCGGCGATCATGGGAGGAGACTGTGTAAGCTATGTCATCAGAGGGGGGGGGAGGCGGTATCGAGACCCCATGGTAACGACGCGAGAGAGTTGAAAACTTTACGGGACATGATGCAAGCATGATGAGCCACACGATGGGAGTGCGCTAAAGACCACGAGGGTCATTGGTGGGGTGGGAAGAAACCAAAAAGAAGGGGGGAATTTCAATCCAGGCGTTAAATCGGGCAAATCATTGAGATAGCGGTATTGAGATCGGAGTTAGCATATAACGCGGATCTATTAAACCACTTGCCTGAGATATTCGTGACTCGTCAAGCTTTACCCACAGCTCATTGCATGGCGGTTCGCATTCTGTCTATTCAAGTTCGTAATATATTCAGGCTACTTTTGCTTGGTAAGCTCCTCCCATTGCACGCCAGCCCATTCCTCCAGATATCCAGCCTCGTCCTTGCCAACGTGCCTAGGCACACAGTCCCGCTCACAAACGCCGACAATAATCGTCCCCCACTCCATTCCTTCCAGGCTCAGGTCATCCGCCTCCAGCTCCGCGATAGCATTCGGCGTCAGCTGCACCTCAAACGTCCTCTTGCCGCCGCAGTTTGGGCATCCGGGGATCGAGCCCTTGGTCAGCTTCTCCCCCACGGCATCCGTCCTCGAGTAAAGAAGGGGCGACCCTGCAAACTCGTAGCGGATGACCTGGTCAGGATTCTGGGCAAGACGATCCGCAAATTTTTGAAACGCAGCGTCCATGGACGACTCGAACGCCTCGCGGTCCAAAACGGAGACGGTCTCCGGCGCATCTGCCTCCTCTATACGGGCATTGTCCGGGATCTTGGTTGATGTCGGCTCGAGAGTTTCGTAGTCGGCTTCTGCCAGATATAGCGTTGGATATGGCTTGGGCTGGGCGGAAGTCTCCGGCCATGGCTCTGGAGGAGGCGGCGGACCGGTGGGTGTCGTGCCCAACGATAATGTTTCGGCAAAGGTCTTGCTGAGTGTGGCAGGCTTGGCATCCTTCTCTGCCTCCTTGGGGGTATCTTTTTGCTGTTGGGAGCTGAATGGGTTGCCGGAGCTCCCGGCGCCGCTTGAGGTGCTGAACGGGTTCGAGTTGCTTGAAAACGGGTTGGCTCCTGATCCGCCGCCAATACCCTTGCCTCCAAACAGAGCGTCGCCCAAGGCGAGGCCATCATTACGAGGCCTCGTCTCTTGCTCCTTTGGCCCTTCTTCTGCTTTCGCCGCTGGAGCTGCCGAGGCGTCGTCTCCCCAAATTCGCACCCCTCGCAAAGCTCGAATGCTTCCCTGCTTGCGACGGCAGGATTCTCGCTTGCAAGCAAACACGTATAGTCGTCGGTCGTGGCCGGGAAATCTCTCTGGTAATTCCGCGTTCAATTGAAGAATGAGAACCATAAGGTCTTTGCACACTTTGCACCGTGCGAGAGCTGCCGAGGGTGGCTTGTCGGCATCCAGCCATTCCTTATCCAAATGTCAGTCAATCATCATTCATCACAAGGCATGGCGCAAAGTCTCACAGCAGAAGCACTTACAGGTACGCCGCCTAATTTGCTGATAGTCTCATCTTGTGAATCTTGAGAGGCATATCCCAAGAGAACACTAGTCTCTGTAAACTCTCCTCCATCTGAAGAATCAGAATCGTATGAAGTCATTATTGCAAAGCCTCGCGAGGACTCTCTGCGAGAAGCTGGCACTGATGGTGGGGTCAAGAATTTTTTGGGTAAGAAGGATGCTAGTCGACGCGGGGCTTACTGGCATGACCGCAGCCAGGTGGTCCAGGGGCCGCCACTGAGACGCCAACCCTCGACCTGCTTGACATGCCACAGAAATACTACCCGTGAGCTCAATGTCGTGCTTGCCGAATACGAAAGACGACTTATTGAGGGCCAAATGAATCATGTATACTTTCCATAAAAATTTTTATTCTACCATGCCATCTAGTGGTATTAACATTTACATGTGGTCATCAGGGCCGTCCATCCCAGGGCCAGGGCCTGCAGCTCTGCCCATCTGCCGAGCCTTCAACAACTCATCACAAAGCAAGAGGTTGGATGCAATGCTGGAGCTGGAAGCAATGCAGTTTCTCAGTACCCGGAACGAGTCAAAGACACCCTCCAACTCAGGGCTCATAGGTTCTCCGCTCTCCAAGTTCAATCCAACAACGTCCCCGTCATTGTATTCGTCCTCCATGGCAGCCACTGTAGCTTAGGTGTTAGCACACTGAATCGAGCTCGTCTGAGTGATATGCTACTTACAAGCATCCTGAACATCATGGCCCGCGTTGGCAGCCAGCGTCTTGGGGATAATGAGCAGAGCGTCGGCAAAGGCCTGAACGCCAGACTTGGCTTTCCCCTTGACTGTCTTGGAAAAAGCGTCACTCTTCAAGTGAAGAGCGCAAGCTAGTTGGAACGCTCCCGCACCAGGAACGACGCTCTTGTCAACAATCATGTTATAGACACTCCGTAATCCGTCTCTGACAGCATCGGTCACTTGAGCGATGGTGTGCTGGTTAGGCCCCTTGACCATGACAGTAACAGACTTGGGGTCTTTCACCTCCTCAATGAAGGTGTACTTCTCCTCGCCCAGAGTCTGCTCATAGACAAGGCCAGCCCATCCAAGAACATCAGCAGACAGGTCGTCCACGCTGTTCTGAGCGACGCCGCCACAGATCAACTGGAGACGTTCCATGTTTCTTCGCTTAGCACGTCGAAGCGCGAGAATGCCGTTCTTTGCCAACACGTCCAGGGACAGTGGGTCGATACCCTTTTGATTGATAATGACGAAGTTCTTCTTGCCGTCTGTTCCACAGAGTTCCTTCTTCAGATCCACAATCTTCTTCAACTTGGCATCGATAAATCGGCGCTCACTATCCACGAGCTTGTCGCGTTGGTCAGCGCTAGAGTAAAAGAAGCCAGAGTTAATTTCAGTCTTCTCGTATTCCAAGCTGACATTCATGGTCAAGATGTAGCAGTTCTCCAGTCTCTTGGGCATATCCGGGTGACGAGCACCGTGGTCCAGAGCAAGCCCACGAATAAGCTGGGTGTCGGCAGCGGTACGATGCTGCATCTTCATGATTTCAACCATGTGCAAATCGGGCTTGGCAGGTTCTTGGTAAATTGCGAGAACAGCATCGACTATAGCGGGCGTGAGCTTCTTCGCAAGCGTAGAGTTGAGCTTAGTGGCGAGAGAGGTGCGCGCCACGTTGAGGAGTAGTTCTCGGTCGACCTCTTTGGGTAGCTTGAAGTCATCGAGGAACTAGACAACTGGAGTTAGAGCCCGATCTGAATCGTTCTACAAAGACTGGGAACAACAATTCAAACCTTGAGAGCCTCGGCCTTGGCAATTTCGAACCCATCACAGATGACACGAGGGTGCAGCCCTTCTGAGATGTATCTGTCCGCCTGCTTCAACAGCTCACCAACCAACAGCACAACCGAAGTGGTACCATCTCCGCAAATATCGTCCTGGGCGGTCGCGGCTCGGGCAATCATGACGGCGGTTGGATTTTGAATTTGCATTTCTCTCAAGAGAACGTTTCCATCCTTGGTCAGTTTGATCTGAGGGCGAAAGAGTATCAGCTTCATCGAGTTCCCCTGAGGGGCAGCAATCGCAGGGTCCGCACCTGTCCAGCGCCGTCAACCAGCCTGTGAAAAAAAGGTCAGCCACACTGGAAGAAGATTAGTTTTCAAGGCAATAAACTTACATTTTTATTGTACCAAGAGGGCCAAGGTTGGACCTAAGGACCTCTTGCAGGCCAATACCAGCATTGATGTTGACCTTGAGAGCTTCACCCCTCCTCTAACAGACGAGTTAGCATGCACACGACACACCGCTTTTCGGGTAATTTGACGAAAAGAGAACGTACTCGGGACTCGGCCTTGGGGTTGAGAAGCTGCGCGGCCGACATGATGTTGCTTGCGAGCTCGCCGGGAGGTGGTTTATGTCGTGGAGGAGCGTCGGTCGCTGAATAGTGATTTCGCAAGCTGGACAACGGCGACCCGCAAGAAGTCGTGGTGGGCTGGATTGGGGTCACTTTTTTCTGCCTTGAGGCTAAAGGCGGTGTGGACCAACGCAGCACGGCTACAAAGTGCATCATGTGGTGCCCTGTTGCCAGGCAGGAGCGATGGTGGGGTGACAACAGTCGGTACCGTTGGCTCCATTTTCATCTCTGCGCTTCTGCCTCCAGGCTCGGCACTGGGCAGCCCGGGCTCGTGAAGTAGAAACAATACAACGCCATCACATCCACATAAAATATCTGGGTAGTATTGAAACAAATTGTGATCAAATCAATTGCTTTCCATTCACTACCAGACTGCTTTGTTTTTAGTCCATCATCCTCAAACCGTTGATTCCCCGTCTTGCTTGATTTGGCTCCTTAATCATCCATCAACATCCATGCACTCCATACGATGCTTCTTCCAGTCTTCCTTCTGGCATTCCGTCGAACAATACTTGACCACTTGGCACCTCATGCATTTCTTCAATGATCCTCCATCTTTAGCAGCCGCTGTTCCACAGCTTCGACATCTATCGCCTGCCGCCAACTGCCCTTTCCCCTTGGCCATGTCCCCGGGGTCAACGACATCCTCCACAAGGGGCACTGAAAATGTCGGGCTGATGGCAATACGAACGGCATTCGGGGCGGCCGTTTCCCATTCTGGTACTGAAATGAAGTTCTTGGGCAACTTTCCGTTTCCACAAGAGCACAGAACCTTTTCTCCCGGCACCAGGCTCAGGGGAACTGTGGCCCCCCTTCTTTTGTACTCGCAGTCAGAACGATGGCTCCATGTACGACAACGTTCTGCCAACGCAGGTAGCACTCGCTTCCACAGAATAAGCTCCGCATCATTGACGTTGATGCTGCAGCATTCCAGTGTTCGAATGAGAACCAAGAATGGTTCCATGCTGCCAGAACTGACGAGCTGGTTAGTCATGGGTATCACTGCTGCATCCAACACTACGGAAGAACAGTCTGCGTCGAGCTTCAACGCCGAGACTAATATCAGCATGTGAATACCACCCTTTTCAGGGTGATTGATGGCAAACATGCCAGTCTGCCCTCCTTGTAGTCCGGACGTCAACATGAACATGGTGAGTAAGGATTCTTTGAAGTTGACCCGCAGGTTTTCGGATATCCCACTCTTCTTATCGGCCTCGTCTCTCATCTTCTTCTCCCTGGGAGAAAACTCCAATGATGCCAATGTCACAAGCCACTGCATCTGGTCTTTCTTTTCTAGATCCAGAACAGGAAGTGCGTCCAAATTCATATGTGAAGCATTAAGAGCAGCCGGGAAGCCCTGTCCGTCCAATCTCGTAGGGTAGATAAAATCCGAAAGAATTACCGAGTCCTTGGAACTGGCCACTCGGGCGACAACCTCAATGTAGCCCGACTTTCTTGCGACTCTTGATCGGCTGCCTGTCTGTGAGACCGGTACTGGAAACCGTAGCGGACATACCAAGGCGTTATTCCCAAAAATGACATCAATAACAAACGGGTCGCGCTGTTGAAGTTGAATCGGGACCTTGTCCTGTAGCATCTTTTTGCCCTTGTCCGAGAGAATGTCAACATGCCCAGTGACCGTCGTAATCTTGGATTCCGAAGCAGGGACTTCCGCCATAATCTTGCTACTCGTGCCGTTCCCAGCATCATCCACAACATCTCCAAAATTCTCAACCCCGCTGCACACGCTTTTATGTCCCGAGAGACCTGGCATGAGTTTCGTGACAAAGACGCTTGAAGCTGCCGACAGCTTTGTTTCAAAAACCGTCATTTCAAACCCCAGCATTCCCATGTACAGATATGCAGCTTGCGCCGACGGCGGTATGCAAATCGCAACTCGTGCGTCTACAGGGTCAACTTGCAGCGCAGCGGTGGGCACAACAAAGGATGCAATCAAGGCTGAGCTGCCGCTCCACCCTTGGTCATCCCGCTCAACGACGAGGGGGGTGTTTTCGTCCTTGGGGGAATTCTCGACCTTTCCAAAGACAATATGGACATCGCTGTACATGTTCTGCCACTGGTTTGGCGAGTTGGGTCCCGCACGAAGCGAGCCAACAAAGGTTGGAGATGCCTTTTCTCGGTTTTTGCCCTGCGTAAAGCCGGTTAATAGCAGAACGGGGAACAACGACAGTGACGGCCACAGCGAGAGGGACGTTCTTCCAAGTCCGGAACCGCCCGCCGTTGGACAAGCTGTCGCTATCGCGGAGCAGCCACGACTCGGTGCTCACGTCTTGCAAATGCATCTGGATTCCGAGCTCCTGAAGCTGGTTCGTCGACAAGGCTAGAGTTCGATCCTGAGATATCTTATTAAAGAGCTGAGAACAGACAGCCGGCCAATCTGTTCTGACCCGGTGCTTGACCACCTTCAGAAACGAGGCGAAGGTTCCCCGATGAAAATGGGTGTAAGCCGAAGATCTCTCCAGTGCCGTGCTGGCAGATATTTTGTAATCCTCCCCCGAGAACATCCGCATGTACATGTCAAACAAGATGCGAACGAGGGCAGAGGCATCAATGTGTAGCTTTCCTCGGCCCCCCAGCGTCCCAGACAGCTGGTCATCTCGCTTCCACGCCAGACGGCTATGGATCTGCGCTTGCGGCGCTCTCATTGTGCCCGCAATCACGGTAAGAAAGATCTCATCCACATGAGACTCGCACTTGGCATTCGTCCAGTACTGCACGGGACTGATACCGAGGAGAAGCAACACCGTGGTAATGTTGCCACAGAGCAGCTTTTCAAACGCTTCTTTCTGCGATTTTCCACGCTTGAGAAGAGACTCGGTATACAGCGTAGCCCACGGCTCAGTCTTCAGCAGCGACGAAGCCGCAACAATGATGTTCAAGGCGCCTACATGATCGGAAAGATTGGAGCTGTCGACAACGTCAAACGCAGTCGGCCCTTTTCCAGCCGGTCCGTACTCATCGCTATCCAGCTCCAAGGGTCTCAAATCCCACTGTCTTCGGTACCAATTCCCAGATGGCTTGCCGGTGCTCGCTGAGTGCTGCAAGGTGTGGCAGCAAGCAAATACGTCGGCGACCATGAACCGCACCACCATCCCCCGAGACGCAAGCTCCCTGAAAGCGGCAATCCATTCGGTGAACTGGGCTCTCGCGGCCTCTGCCGTCTTATACTCCGTCTTTTCATGATCCATTGCAAGAGGCGAATTCTCAGACAGCGGTGCAAACGCAACAGCCAAATGATAGCCAAGAGTGGGATCGCTTCCGTAATGAAGGACGTCCATCTGGGAGACGAGACTCGCAAACATTGGATTCGGCACCGTATTTTCTGCATGATGAGGCGTCACAGTCCCGTGGGTAGAATACGTCTCAAAGGCCTTGATCATATCATGGTGCGATTTCAGCGAGAGCGGAGCCGCAGACCTCATGCCGGTCATATTGACACCGTCTTTCCAGAAAAGGCCTCTAGCGTCTCCGAAGTCTTTTTCAAATTCTTCTTGAAAGCCGCGGCATAAGAAGCAGTGTTTCGCTGCTCCGCGCCATGGAGAATTCTGCGGCACACGGATCGAACATCCTCAAGAGTGGCTTGGTCAGAGACTCTAATGATGTTGGCGTAAGGCCCGTGTTTCCAGGTCTGGAGAGACTCGAGAAGGGGCAGCAGCTTCCTCACATGCTTCAGGACTTCTTCCACAGTAGCATCATCCACATAAAGGTGATAGTATATATCCCAAAGGCAGCTCGGCGCAACACGGCCGGGGCTATCCAGCAGCAGCGTCAAGAACAAGATATTCCGGGCTTGTTTTTTTTTCAATTCCCCGTCAGTCACGCCCATTCTACATGCCAAACACCGGCAACAATGTAGATGACTCACCAATGACTTTCTCGTCGTAATCGCAACAGGTCACATCAATCTTTCTCTTGGCTAACTCGTATTAGCCTCAGCCAGGTCACAAGTCGATTGAAATTCCATTCATTACCTAGTCCTCTTTCCACGTATGAAGTGAAGAGAATATTTCGCACATCCCCACAACCCAGACTCAAAATGTCCACGTCCTTGCCAATGGGGACGCTGCGCGTGAGACTCGTGGCAGGTGTGTTGCCAATTGCATATAGGAAGCTGAGACGGTTGGCAACGGTGGGCGTGAGCATTTCGTCTGCTCCAATGCCTGCATCACACACACACAGGTGCGTAGAAGCAGCTATTCTCCTCTCAAGTTGACGGCGTTGGACAAGTTTGGATAGGTTCTGGGGCCGAAGCAGGTCTTGTCTGTTGGCCAACTTGGGTGGTGGAGAGGCTTGCCACGCCCACAATCATCAGCCACACCGCTTCACCTTTCATCGGTTAACTTAGGCTGTGATTCCCGGAATTGGGGTCAATCTTTTGACCTCAATTTCGACGCACAATTCAGCACAATATGGGCGCTAGACTCAAATTAGCTGGATGCAACACATAAATTTAAGCAGAGACCCAATATTTTACACAAACCTCCGTCCATCCCTGCTCACGATGTACCAAGCTAGCAGGGGCAGCTTTAATGCCTGTAAAAGGCTTAGTTGCCAAGATTTACGTGAAATCTTTTCGAAAAAAATGTCGGTGGAAGGTCAAAGCAGCTTCACGCTAATTTCTGTAATTAGGGTGACCGACATTCTTAATCGGATAACAGCGATGATAATTTAAGGCTCGTAATACGGCAATAATAATCGCGATATGGCGATGATAATCGCGATACGGCGATGATGATCGCGATATGGCGATGATAATTTAAGGCTTGACCCTTAAGAAATCATTAGTAATTAGAATAAGAGACGAAACACCAAATGACCTACCTCACAAGAAGAGTCAAGACACACAAGCCTTAAAAAAATCGCTGTGAGACGGTACAAAGTAATATTCCCACTTTAAATTGGTGGAGCATGTACTGACCAGGGTCAAAAAGTTGACCTCAATTTTTTGACCCCAATTCCGGGAATCACAGCCTTAGTAACAATGCATATGCGTGGTCTCACCCACATTCACAAAGAGCACATATATTTCAATGAAGGTCGATTCACATTTCTGGATAATAGGCCAAAGCAAATACACATCGGCTCCATCGCCACTGCAAAAGCGCCTTGGTCAACATGTTGATAGAAAAAAACATAAATCCGTTCGCCCTGCATCGAAAATAAATATTCCTTTGCCCCAGTCCCCCTATCATACAAGTTTTTTTTGTCGCAGAAAGCATTCCCATTTAAGACCATTGATGATTATGAGACGCGCAGACCCCAGGTTGGGCCATACCGTGTACAAGAAAAAGAAAAGCAAACCGATAAGTCCAACGTAGCCCATCATACCAGACACAGAGAGACGTTAGCTTCGTACTGATTAGATACCAAGACGATATTTGACAAAATTGTAACGAAATGGGGCAGTCAGCCACTCGTGCGCAATTACGAGTTGCTGAAAAACATGTCGTCGTTGTTGGTGAACATGCTGACGGCAGCCTCAAACTCGTCGTCAAACTTGCTGAGCATGAGCATGCTTGATTCACGATCGAGCTGGACAAGACCACCGCCATCTTGGCTAAACTGCAACAACAAGTCATCGTCCTGGTCGCCCAAGCCCATGGGCAGAGTTCCGTTCATGCCAGAAGAACCCATCATGCTGTTCGTGGATGGCATGACCGCCAGATCAGCGCCAGAGGAGGTGTTGGGGGCCATGTCGAAGAAGTGACATGGTGGCGGCGATGACGACTGAGACAGCTCGGGCGGCGGCGGCGTATTGTAATGGCTGACGCCGCTCTTTGCTGGTGATGCTGGGTGCGATGGTGCCTTGTCCATGATGGCTTCCGGCGACACATACGAGTGTGCGCTGACAACTGAAGGAGACTGGACCATGTCTTGGTTCATCACCCTTGGTATCAGCGTAGGCATGGGAGCAGTTGACATGGATGGCATTCCGCGGGTTCTGGCATTGACAATGTCCATGTCTACCATGTCGTCCAGCATGTTATACTCGTTGTCCGGCGAATTGATTGCAGAGCTGTCGGAATAGCCAGAAAATGACGACACAGAGCTAATCGACATGTTCTTCTTTCTCGTTCTTGCAGACTTCTCCATCCTAGTGTCCATATCAGGGCGGTTCTTCCTTGGGCGGCCTCGCTTCACCGTCTTGCGGACAACGCCATCAAAGGCGCCGATGCACATTCCTCGCTGCCGGTGTCTCGTGAGGGCATCGTGGCGGGCGAAGCTGTTTCCGCATTCGCAGGGATATGGCTTGATGCCGGTATGGATCTTGGCATGTCTCTTGAGATCGTGCTGGCGCACAAAGCACTTCTTGCAAGTAGGGCACTGGTACTGTCGGTCATTCAGGTGGGTTTGGACGTGCGATTTGATGTTCTCCTTGCGCCCAAATTTCTTGCCACAGTCTTCAAACAGACACATCCACTTGCCATCCGTGGTTTCAGGGCTGTGGATGTACTGAGAAATCTCCTCCAGGGTAACACCGGTGTCAGTGCGAGTCTCGTCAATGTTGATATCAGCTATACTGGCGGCGCTGGCCATGGAAGCAATAGACTCTGTCCGACGATGAGGAGAAGACTTTCTGGATTGCACAGCCGAGTCCGGGCGAGGACCATGCTGCAAGTCAAGTGTGCCCTCAAAGGCAGCGCCAACAAACTGTCCGTGATTTCGAATGTCTGGAGAAGTGTGGTGAGAAAGATCCGATAGGGAGTTGGTGGTGTCGAGCTCAAGTCTTGCTGCGTCGTTCTGATCCTCAATCTTGACAAATTCGTTTCTTAGAGCATTCATGTTCATGTAGTCTGAGTTCTGCATCTGGCGGCTACTGAAGCTTTTGGCATCGGGAACTTTGTTTGTCCTTGGGGGGCTGAGGGCGCTAGCATTTTGCTCTGCTTGCTGTCTCATATCTGCAAAGACGGACTGGGTTCTGAGACCAGAGCGGCTGTTTCGGTTGGGCTTGATAGTTTCTTCCATTGACTCGTCATAGTCATCAGAAAATCTGTCTGGTCTGGCTTCTTGCTTGACATTACGGTCATGGGGGGTTTCCACTGGTGTAGGAGGGTAGTAATCTTGGCAGCAGCGGTCAGCATCTTTCAAGCTTGTTGTATAGTGTCCAAAGAAACTCACTGGTTCCATTCTGATTGGGTGGTGTTGTAGGTCTTTGAACCTCTTCAATGCCCATGCTCTCAAACTTGTTTACACGCTCCATGATGCCGTCGCTAATCCGCCTCGAATTCCGTCGAGAAGTTGCGTCATCGGCGGACCAAACCTGGCCAGCAGGGCTGTCTGAGAAGTTCATAAAGGTGGGAGTCGAGAGGGCGCTGTTATTGGAGTAGAGGTCAAAGCTTCCGCTCTCGACCATGTTGTTGTAGTAGTTCTCTTGGTTCTTCCGCATCATCATGTCCAAGTGAGCCGGGTACGAGAAGCGGCCAGTACTTGTGTCAAAACATGACGATGGGGCGAACCTCTGTGTCTGAGGAGTACCATGTGGCGAGATCAAAAAACTCTCATTGCTATTTGTTACCATTGATGCATACTGCATTTGGTTGGGGCCCGGGCGTGCTTGGGTGCGTTGCTGCTGCGCTTCTGGCAGAACATGATGCTGCGAGGTGTTTGCTAATCCTGTGTTGTTAGTAGTCATTCTTACCTGATTGAAGTCCTGCCGTGCTGTCTGGGGTGCCGTCTGTTGTCGTCTAATGTCGAGACTGAGGCCGCGCCGGTGGGCAGCGGCTTGTCGTCTGTTGTTGGCGCTGGGCAGCGGCGAGATATTCACGCCTTCGAGAGCAGAGGGAGTCGAATTCTGGCGGCGGTGTTGCCTCTGCCTGGCGTGAATACCCGTCGGCGGATTGGGCAGCATAATTGTTGCAAGGGAGTCCGGAAGTTGGGAAGTTGTCGTCGGTCGATATTCGTTGTCGATGGGGAACCGTCTAGGTCCGAAACTGTATCATTTTGTCAACACGGTTGTTGGTCGTCTGATTAGCATGCTGGGAACTCACCTCACGCAGCGCAAGCACAGAGCGCCGGGCTTAAAAAGTTGTCGTTGTGCTCAGTCGAGGGCGACTTTTGCACGAATCTTGGGGTGTCGTGTATAAGTGCGAGCCTTGCTCAGGCTATGGAACGTGTGTCAATGAGACGAGCTTAGGCCGTTCGTTGGAGGTCTTCTCCCCCGAAAGCCGGAGTTCTCAATATGCAGGTATTCTCAAGCTCTATCTGAAGCTTAGAGAAGAGTACAGATGGAGTTTGGCAAGTGGGTTCAAAATGCAACATGAATGGACCAGAGTAGCTGGGCATCATGGTGGTGTAATGATCCCAGCAATTGTTGACTTGGTTGCCACGGCAACCCTGGCGGCCACTCACAAAAGAACTTGGCCTCCCTGGCGACACCTCCATCACGTCACCAGGGCGCCGACTAACATGTCTCAATTTGTTGTCTTGTGCGATCCAATTTGCTCCAATTGCCAATGCTTGTTCCCGATTTAGCAAGCGGCTAACTTCTTATGCCGTTGGTGTGATGGGATGATGCTATTATTGCGGGTGGCTTGCATGTGAACGCTTGGACTGTCATGCGAGGTGATGTTGGTTTGCAGAGCTTCGTAACATAGTTGATGTTGCCCGTCAATCCTTGACAGAATATTATAGTATGCAGGCAATAACTACATCTCTTCCGGCATAGTTTCTCTCTTTTCCGAGGTGTCTGGTCGATGCATGTTTTACCTATCTTGTTTCATGACAATGGAGCCTCCTGCTATCCCTCGGGAAGAAGACCAAGACAAGCAGGGACACCGAGTTAATTCAAAGGGATGTATCCCACAGCGCAAACCCAATGTCGTCGGGCCAAGCTGGCTCACATTGGTCTTGGCCAGGACGATGGATTTGTACAGGGTAGCGCGTAGGGCCTCCAGACGAGAATGACACACAACGTGGAGCTGAGGGTGGGTAATGCTTCTAGTTGACTCTGATTCCGATGATACTTGGATTCTCTCTCCCCCACTTTCTTTTCTTTTCTTTTCTTTTTTTTTCCAAATGATAGATGGCCCCCATCGTGCTGGAAAGAAAGATGGGCACTCTTCGGCTCAGCCTGCCTCGTGTTGAGATGCTGAGGTGGTGGCATGACTCTGGCCAACATCGCATGATAACGGCTGCTGAATACC